AGTCTCCTCCTGTCCCTGCGTTTGGCCAGGTAGCTGCGTCGGGTCAGGTGTTTGCTGCTGCGTCCAGGTCTGGTCCTGAGTCTGCCCCCTGCTCGTGTCGCCTCCTGTCTCACGAGACTCTCGTGTGGCACCACCGTCTTGGCCACCCCTCCCTGCCTCGTCTTCGGGGCATGGCTTCCCGTGTTCTTGTCTCTGGTCTCCCCCGGTCTCTCCCTCCCCTTCCTTCGGGGCCTGGACCTTCCTGTGTCCCCTGTGTCGAGGGGCGGCTCCGGGCTGCCCCTCACTCCTCCCAGTTTCCCCCGACAGAGGCTCCTCTGCAGACGCTTCACATGGACGTGTGGGGCCCGGCCCGCGTCCGTGGACAGGGTCACGAGCGCTACTCCCTGCTGGTGGTTGACGACTACTCGCGTTACACCACAGTCTTCCCTTTGCGCAGCAAGGGTGATGTCACTGAGGTGATGATCGACTGGATCTGCGCAGCTCGTCTCCAGCTCAGGAGGAGCTTTGGCTCGGACTTTCCTGTTCTGCGCCTGCACTCTGACCGAGGTGGAGAGTTCTCCTCTGGCCTTCTGCGAGCCTACTGTCGTGCACGAGGCATCCGCTAGACCTTTACGCTTCCGGACTCTCCACAGCAAAATGGGATTGCTGAGCGCCGCATTGGCATGATCATGGACGTCGCTCGTACGTCCATGATGCATGCGGCTGCCCCCCATTTTCTGTGGCCGTTTGCGGTTCGGTACGCGGCACATCAGATCAACCTTCACCCCAGGGTCTCCCGGCCGGAGACCTCCCCAGCTCTGTTGTGGACGGGGAAGGTCGGCGATGTTAACGGGAATGGAGTGTTAGCCCCGCCCTCGCTTGGGCAACGCCGACAACTTGGTCGGATGTACGGGAGTAGCAGCCGACCGCCCACAGTGGGATAGCTGCTCGACAGGATACGTCGAGCTGCAGCGGACCGCTGTGGTGTTGCTGTCGACCAGGATGCTTGAGAGCTGCACTTGACTAGCCTGGGCGACGGGTGAGCCGTCCGGGAGGTCGACGAAGCAGTCCGTCGACCTACAGTTCGACGGGGAGGTCTATGGAGCATCCCGTCAAACTGCAGCTCGATCGGGAGGTCAACGGAGCATCCCGTCGAACTGCAGCTCGACCGGGAGGTCAACGGAGCATCCCGTCAAACTGCAGTTCGACCGGGAGGTCGACGGAGCAGTTCTGGTCGACGGAAGGGGTCCGTCGACCAAGGGGTAGCTTGACGGGAGGTGTGGTCGACCAGGAGCGCCCGGTGGTCGACCAGAGGGACCCAGTGGTCGACGGGAGGCACCTGGGAGTCGACCAGAGCACCAGGGGTCGACCAGGTCGACCGGGTAACCTGCTCGACGAGTTCTACGGAGGCATGCGAACGTCGTCGAGATCGCGATGGCGCAGGCGACTTCGGGCTGGTATCCCGAAGTCGATGTGGCTCGTCAGGTGCAGACAACAGCCGACGGATGCCCAACGAGGCAAGTCGGGCCAATCGTTTGCGCACACCTGTGAGCGCGCGCACTGCTGTGTTCTACGGGGCACGTCGTCAACCTACTTTGTTGGCAGGTCGCCCTTCTGCAATGCCGGCGCGGCTCCTCTACGCAGTGCTGGCAGGCGGTCGACCGAGCTGCGTTGGCGGTCGACCAGGCTAGCTGCAGGGTTGCTAGGTGCCTGATGTAGTCTTTGTTGTCATTGCTGCTTGTATCATTCTGGAATTCTAACTTTGCTAGTGGAAACTCTTGCCAAATTCTTCCGTGAATGTGCAAACACTAAGGAACTAAGCAAAGCTAAGATCACCTCTAGTAGTTCGTGCCAACCCTTATAGTCTAGCTCACTACCGTTGTAGAGTTTAATCTCCGCAGGCGATGCGTCTGCGTTCCGTGTCTGGGGATCTCGGCCATTTGTCCGCGACTTGTCTGCGGACAAGCTGTCCCCTCGTACTGCTCTGTGTCTTCCTAGGCTTCCCCCCTGACGCCCCAGGGTGGCAGTTCTACCACCCCTCCTCTCGTCGTGTTCTGTCCTCCCAGGACGTCACGTTCGACGAGTCAGTCCCCTTCTACCGTCCCCTTCTACTTGCCCCTGAGGGAGACCCGGATGCACTAGACATCCCGACTCCGCGCTCTTACGCGGAGGCCGTAGAGGGTCCCTACTCCTCTCAGTGGCAGGCAGCTATGGATGCAGAGATGGCTTCCTGGAAGTCCACAGGCACCTACGTTGACGCGGTTCCCCCTCCTGGGGCGAACATCGTCAGTGGCATGTGGATCTTCAGGGTGAAGCGGCCGCCGAGCTCTCCACCTGTCTTCAAGGCGCGGTACGTCGCTCGTGGCTTCAGTCAGCAGCATGGAGTTGACTACTTTCAGACCTTCTCTCCCACCCCGAAGATGACCACTCTTCGGGTGCTGCTGCACATAGCCGCTCAGGGCGACTACGAGCTTCACTCTCTTGACTTCAGCACTGCTTTCTTGCAGGGTAGCCTGCACGAGGAGATCTGGCTGCGCCGTCCACCTGGCTTCACTGGGACTTTCCCTCCTGGCACCCAGTGGAGCCTCCGACGGCCAGTCTACGGTCTCCGCCAGGCACCGCGTGAGTGGCACGACACACTGAGGACTACGCTTGCGGCTCTTGGGTTTGCTCCCTCTACTGCAGACCCGTCGTTGTTCCTGCGCACCGACACCTCACTGCCGCCATTCTACATCCTCGTGTACGTCGACGACTTGGTCTTTGCCACAGCTGACACTGCTGGACTCGCCTACGTGAAGTCCGAGCTGCAGAAGAGACACACGTGCACAGACCTGGGTGAACTGCGCAGCTACCTTGGCTTGCAGATCACCCGGGACAGAGCACGCCGCACCATTACCCTGACTCAGTCACACATGGTGCAGCAGATCCTTCAGCGCTTCGGCTTCACGTACTCCTCGCCTCAGGCCACTCCTCTGTCTACTTGCCACTCGCTCTCAGCTCTGCCTTCGGATGAGTCCGTAGAGTCGAGTGGCCCGTACCCAGAGCTTGTTGGCTGCCTCATGTACCTGATGACCTGCACACGACCTGACCTTGCATACCCTCTTAGCATTCTTGCACGCTATGTTGCTCCTGGGAGACACCGACCAGAGCACATGGCTGCAGCGAAGAGGGTGTTGCGCTACTTGTGCAGTACGTCGGGCATGGGGCTAGTGCTTGGAGGGCGGAGTCCAGTGGTCCTCACTGGGCACGCGAACGCTTCTTGGGCTGACGACCAGGCTACTCAGCTGTCGTCGCAGGGTTACACCTTCAGTCTTGGTTCCGGCTCTGTTTCGTGGCGGGCTACTCGCTCGTCTTCTGTTCTCGGCTCCGGTTGTGAGGCTGAGATCTACGCCGGGGCCATGGCTGCACAGGAGCTTCACTGGCTCACCTACCTGCTGACTGACCTCGGAGAGCCGCCACGTTCTCCTCCAGTGCTGTACGTAGACAACAAGGCCATGCTGGCCTTGTGTCGGGAGCAGCGCCTGGAGCACAGAACGAAGCACATTGCTCTCCGCTACTTTCTTGCTCGTGAGCTGCAGCAGCGTGGCCAGTTGCGACTTGCGTACGTGGCCTCTGAGGCCAACACTGCTGATGTTTTCACCAAGGCACTTCCGCCTTGTGATCATCAGCGCTTCTGCACTCAGCTGGGACTTGTCCCAGTCTTACCTCACTTGCTCACCTCTTGACCTTGCTTGTACTCTTGCATATATATATATATATACATGCTCTTGCTTGTTTAGCTTTATATATATATATATATGTCTACTCCTGCATGTGAACTGGCCTTGTGGCCTTGACCTTGTGCTCAGACTGTGTGGTGACTTTGTGATCCACCCTGAGCTTGCTTTGCTTTGCTTTGCTTGACTGGTCTTGTGACCCCTTGTTCTCCCCCACTTTGCCAATGGGGGTGTGTCAGAACATATAGCTTTTGCATATTGTGTAGGCTATAGTGGGGTAGCCCATAAGGGGTACAACCCAATTAGGGTTAGTACTCGTACTCAGTTCATTCATAGTTCATTCATTTCTCGTTCTCATCTTCTCAGCGTCCTCACCTGCCCCCTTCCACACGCGGCAGTCCATGAGGCACCCATCCTTGCCGGCCATCTTGCCCCCTCGCAAAACACACACGCCGTGCCTCCTGCCAGCCCCGCCACATGCACAGAGGAGGGACAGACAGCGAACGATGGTGACGAGGTGGAAAAGGGATGGATGGAAACAAATGGGGAAGTGTAGGGAGCAACCTGAGATTGAGCTGCAGGAAGATGCAGGAGGGGCCGACGGCCAGCAGTGTCGCCATGGGGTGCCATGGTGCCATCGCATCAAGGTGCTACGTCACGGCGCCATTGCATCAAGGTGCTAAGTGGCGCCATGTGAAAAATGAAGAGTGGCGAGAGGCTTCGTGGGGTGGCATGGCAGTGAGGTGTATGAGAAGGCTCTCACCATTTCCCCCGCACTTGGCACACGGCACTGGGTCGCTCTGGCAGCATTGCATGCGGAAAGACGGGGCACGGGCACAGGACAGCATGCGGGGCGCAGGAGAGAATGCGGGGCACACGGAAGAATGTGGGGCACAGGAGAGAATGCGGGGCACAGGAGAGAATGCGGGGCACAGGAGAGAATGCGAGGCACAGGAGAGAATGCGGGGCACAGGAGAGAGGAGCAGGCAGAGAGGAGGCGCATAGTGAGTGACCCCGGGCGAGCGTGTGAGGCGTGGCGAGCATGTGTGCAACGAGCGTGTGTGCAGCGAGCATGTGTGCAGCGAGCATGTGTGCAGCGAGCATGTATGCAGCGAGCATGTGTGCAGCGAGCATGTGTGCAGCGAGCATGTGTGCAGCGAGCATGTGTGAGGCGAGCATGTGTGCAGCGAGCATGTGTGCAGCGAGCATGTGTGCAGCGAGCATGTGTGCAACGAGCATGTGTGCAGCGAGCATGTGTGCAGCGAGCATGTGTGCAGCGAGCATGTGTGCAGCGAGCATGTGTACAGCGAGCACGGAAGCCAGAGAAGAAACGTAGGCGTGAGGAGGGGAGGCCATTGGAAGGGGGGGGGGGGCGTCCGGAGGACGAGCAGCGGGGAGAGAAGGGGTGGCGGAGTGGGTGCGCGGAATGGGTGCGCGGAGTGGGTGCGCGGAGTGGTTGCGCGGAGAACGGCACCTTGAGCGCAAGTCGCAGGGAGACGGCGGCGGCAGCGAGCGCGCCCGCCGTGAGGATGAACGTCTGCACGTCGCCCGCCCCGACGCCCGCCGCTACCTGCGCTACCGCCGCTCCCGCTCCCGCTCCGCGCCGCCGCGCGGGGGAAAGGCGACGGATGCGTGAGGATGCGGCGGAAGGGCGGAACGAGGGACACAGTGTGGGGGTGGAGGCGGGGAAAAGGTGGCGCAGCAGCATGGGCGGAGAGGCGGATGGGAAGGAAAGCGAGAGACGAAGGCGCGCGAACACGGATGCCAGCTGCCGCTGCAGCAGCGACAGCGGCGCGCCTTGCACGCAAGTCCATCCCTACGGCCTAACAACTCACACTCACATCACACTCCCTCGCCCACTCACTCACTTGCTTCATGATGCTGCTAAGAGCGCGCGAGTCCAATCTATCGGCAATGGCGTGAGCACAGACGCCAGCTGCTGCTGCAGCAGCGACAGCGACGTGCCTGCTGGCGTATCCCCCCCAAATCCAATCCCACTCCAGCCTACCAAGTGACCATACACACCTCATATGCTATTCACTCACTCTCTCACTCACTTGTTTCATGTTGCTGCTGAGAGCACGCGAATCGAGTCTATCGCGAACGGCGTGAGCACGGACGCTAGCTGCCGCTGCAGAACCGAAAGCGGCGTGCCTGCTGGCGCATGCTTCACTGCCGCCACTGCTCGCTGCACCCCCTCCTGCACCTCCCCTGGCGTCCCCTGCGGGAATTCGGAGGGAAAGGATGTTCGGAGAAGGGTGGGGGTGGGATGGGAGGGGGAAGGGGAAGGGAATGGCCGGAGAGGGTGAGAAAGGGGTGCAAGAATTCAACGGATCAGATGCCAGCACATCCGCTTACGTCGCCTTGAGCGGTCTTTATCTAACGGTCGACAAAGCAAAAGACATCAACGGATCAGATGCTATCACAGCCGCTCACCTCACGTTGAGCGGCTCTCATCCAACGGACGACAATGCAAGTGAATTTAGTGGGTCAGATGCAATCACAGCCGCTCACCTCACCTTGAGCGGCGCCGTCAGCGCCGTCGGCGGCAGAACCGGCGGCGCCGGCGGAAGCCTGCGCGGACACCGCAACCGCGGAGGAGGCAGTCGCCGTGGCGGAGATTCGGCGCGGAGCGGACATGGATGCCCCGCGAAAAGAGACGGAGGCGGACGAAGAGAGGACCTGGGGGACATGGGAGGTAGTGATGGCGATAATGACTAACTGTGAGAGAGGGAGGCAGCGAAAGGAAGCAGTGGATAGGTGAGGGTCAGGAGGAGAGCACCTGGTAGCTGGGGGGGATGAAGCAGGAGGGGAAGTTCGAATCCAAAGTTCGACGAACGTACACGGCGAAACTAAGCGAACTATAAACGAAGACTTGTGTAAGGAAATTCCCTTTTCCTTACTTCGCGTCCCTGCTCAACGCGTACATCACTGTAGCACCTCACTCAGCACCGTTACCACTCGCGACCATCGCATCATTCATCCCGCCCTTTTCGCACATCGCATCCCGACCTCACGGCTCGGCTGGTAACCCGCGCTCCGGACCTACGCTTCGACACTTTCCCAACCTCAGTCCCAGGCTCGTCGCGCGACCATTACCGTTATCACGGTAGTTTCGCTATATAATGTTCGCTCATGCCTTCGCTCATTTGTATTCTTGCTTCGATAGTGCAATTCTCGTCGTTCACTCAATTGCACTCGTAACACTTGGTATTCAGAGCCTACGATCTCATCTCGGACCGCATCCACACCTTCGCTTCCCACTATCTCAATTTTTTGGGGGGGGTAGACGTCTCTCAGCGACACAGCACCGCCGCTCGTAGTGCTCTCTCGAAAGCACGCACGGCCACGACCGAGGCTCTCGCTGAGCTTGCCCGACACCCCCGCCATGGCCGATTTCAATCTCGCCACGTTGACGCAGGAGCAACTCGATCGTCTCGTGCGTCAATTGGAGGATTCGGCGCTCGAAATCGCGACTCTCATGGCGGAACGTGACTCCGCCAGACAACAGTCAACGGTGAACGTACCGACGACATCACACGCACCAACCAATGCATCTGCACATTCGGAGGAGCCCATCGTCATCTCATCCGGCACACCAACGCAACACAACAGCACGGGACAGCGCTCAGGCGCAGCCAGTGACGGCGCAGCCCAACCGATGCCCGGCATGGGAGGGAACAGGAGCGCATTAAGCCCACGGGAGCCCCGAGAAGCCCGTCGGCACGTGGAGTTTGCGGCGACAAGTGGCGAGAACGCCATGATGGCCCCAATGTCACTCAAGCCGCAACGCCCGCCCTGCTTCGACCCAAGCCAACGCGGCGGCCCGACAGTTCAATCGTGGGTCTTCACGATGAATGTGTTTTTCGACGCCAACTACGTCGAGTCGGACGCCGCCAAGATCCGGTATGCGGTTTCACTACTCAGGGGCCCCGCCATGGACTGGTGGCGAGTCATTGTGACGTCGCCGCGCGCCTACGAGCCACCGTCGCACGAGGAAGGGCCCTCGGGTCCAGCTGTTACCTGGAGTTCGTTCTGCGAAACCACCCAATACAGCACGTGGGATGCGTGGTGCGCAGGGCTTCGGGCGCGCTTTGAGCCGATCGCGGCCTCGATTTCGGCGCGTCAGAAACTGCGCACTTGGCGCCAGCTCGGGTCAGTTCAAGACTACACCAGCGGGTTTTTCGCACTTTGCGAACAGGTCGGCTACATGCACGAGGCGGAGCGGGTGGACCGTTACGTCGGAGGGCTGAAGCCGGACATCTCGCACGAGATAATGCTACGCGGGCTCTCAAATTTCAACGAGATCCTCGCGCTCGCCGAGAAAATCGATATCCTACGCCGACCGAGACCGGGGTCCTATTACGGACATCGTCCTCGGGGACCGACCGAGAACGCCACTGTACATGCCGTCGCAGCGAATGCAGCTGCCGCGCCGTTTAGAGGGCGCTGCTTTGCTTGCAACCGGCCGGGCCATCGCAAGAGCGAATGTCCAGAGGAGCTGAGGCGTCGAGGAGCAGAGCAGGGGAAGGAGTCTCGGAGGCAGGGAAACGCCAGCAGTCAGTAGAAGTTGGGCCAACTACTGACGAGACTGCCTGCTCGCCCAACCACACCGACCCTCACCGAGTCACAGTACCGATTCACGCCATCGATCGGGCTCGGATGAATAAGGAGGGTACAGCGACGGATTGCCCGGTACTGATCTACGGGAAAATACAGGGAGCAGCAGTGAAGATCTTCATTGACGGAGGAGCAAGCCACAGCTTAGTTAATACCGCAACCGCACGAAAATTACAGTTAACGCTTAACCGATGTTTACCTGAGATAGATGCACGCTTAGTCGACGGCACGCCCCTGGCCATACGGGAAAAGGTGGAGCGCGTAAAAGTCCGCTGCGGGGGGAACTTCGGGTTTACAAAGGAAATGCTCGCGACGACACTGGATGGGCACGACATTTTATTAGGACGTGATTGGCTGCGACGGTACAACCCACGGATCGACTGGACGACGGGGAGCTGCACAGTGCGAAGTAGTGGTAACTGGGTCGTTCTACCTCGCTGGCAGCCACCCACATCTTCGACGGTCCAGGTCAACGCCATCACGATGAAACGGGCTGTCGCTGCTGGAGCTGACGTGTACGCAGTGGATATCGCACTCGTAGAAAAAGATGAGCAGCTGAGTGATTTGGAGAAACTGCTGGCAACTGTACCGACCGAACTACAGGCACTACTGAAACAGTTCCCGGGGATATTTCCGGATGATTTACCACAGGGATTGCCACCTCAGCGGGCGCACGACCATAGGATCGAGTTAGAACCGGGGGCACAGCCAACTGTACAGCGGCAATTTTGACTGACACAGCCCGAGCTCGACGAGTTAAGGAAGCAGTTAGATTACCTGTTAGAGAAGCAGTTTATCCGACCGAGCTCGTCACCGTTCGCCGCACCGATACTGTTCACACCGAAAAAAGACGGAGGGTTCCGCATGTGCATCGACTACCGAGCGCTTAACAGGGTAACAGTCAAATCGCGATACCCCATCCCCCGCGCCGACGAACTGATCGACCAACTGTGAACAGCACGAGTCTTTTCGAAAATAGATTTACGGGGAGGTTACCATCAGATTCGGGTCGAACCATCGGACTGCGCCAAAACAGCATTTAGGACTAGGTACGGGTCATTCGAGTATACAGTAATGCCATTCGGGCTGACGAACGCGCCTGCGACATTTCAGATGACCATGAACGAGGCATTTAGACCACTTTTAGATAAATGCGTGATAGTTTACCTGGACGATATTCTAATTTACAGCCGGGATAAGCAACAGCACTTAGTGGATCTTGAAGCAGTTTTTAAGGTTTTGGAGGAACATCGGCTACTCACCAAGGGCTCCAAGTGCGAGTTTTTTCGGGACAGGCTAGAGTTTTTGGGTCACGTCATTTCGGAGGCTGGGGTTGAGATTGACCCAAAGAAGCTGGATACGGTAAAAGCGTGGCGCCCCCCGACGAACATCACGGAACTGCAGAGTTTTTTAGGTTTTGTTAATTACGTTCGACGGTTCGTGCCCGACATGGCACGTTTAACAGCCCCACTCACTGATTTACTGCGTAAGGGGGTCGCTTTTACGTGGGGAGAGAAAGAGCATGCTGCCTTCTCTGCCCTGAAAAACGTTCTCTGTTCACCACCCGTTCTACGCATCGCTGATCCCCACCGCCCTTTCGAAGTGGTTACCGACGCAAGTGACATCGCCATCGGAGTTGTACTGTTACAGGACTTCGGCGACGGCCTCCAACCCATCGCCTACGAATCACGCAAACTACATCCGCCTGAGCGAAATTACCCGATACACGACCGCGAAATGCTCGCGATCGTGCACGCATTCAAAGTGTGGCGCTGCTACTTGACCGGCGCAGACGTGACAGTACGGACAGACCATCGATCTCTACAGTACCTCCGTGCACAGCCCCACCTCAACCCACGACAAATTCGATGGCTCGATTTCCTCGAGTCGAATTTTCACTATACGGTCACATACAAAAAAGGAGCCTCGAATATCGCCGACGCACTGACCCGCCCCACTGCCCAGATCCACGCGATACTACTCGCCCAGACCAGCCCGCTACTGACAGGCCTATTTACCCACGGATATCAAACAGACCCGTTCTTTACAGGAGGCAACTCACAGCAATTCGCAGCGGCAAAAGGAGTCTATTACGTAAAAGCTGGAACCGACCGCATCTGGGTACCAGGATACACGCTACTGCGGGAACTACTGTTACAGGAGGCACACGACGGAGTTACCTCGGGACATTTCGGGGTAGAAAAAACACGGCAGCAGCTGCAGCGGTACTACTACTGGCCAGAAATGTTGACCGATGTGCAACGACACGTGGCATCGTGCCCCACTTGCCAGCTCATGAAGTCAAGCAGGAAGCGGCCGGCGGGACAATTACAACCCATCCCGCCCCCAGAGCGTGCTTGGCAGCAGGTGACGATGGATTTCGTTACGGGGTTACCAGCTGGGGCAAGTGGGAATGACGCGATCCTGGTCGTCGTCGATCGACTAACGAAGATGGCTTATTTCGCAGCATGCAGGAAATCAATCACAGCCGAGGAAACCGCCCGACTCTTCATCACCACCGTCGTTCGACTGCACGGGATACCCGCATCGATCATCAGCGACAGAGACACGAAATTTACAAGCAACTTCTGGCGGAACCTGTGGCAGCAGTTCGGCACGCGCTTACAGTTCAGTTCATCCTATCACCCCGAAACCGACGGACAGACGGAACGGACAAATCAGACCATGGAGCAGCTGGTTCGAGCCACGTGCGACGATCCGAATACGTGGGAACAGCAGCTGCCACTCATCGAGTTCGCATACAATAACGCACCATCAGCCACGACGCAACAGTCGCCGTTTTACTTGAATTACGGACAGGACCGAACAGTACCCATGACACCGAATCCCGACAACCCCGTCCCACGAGCACAACAGTTCGCCGAGATTCTGCAAGCAGCACGGACCAGGGCAGCAGAAGCAATCAAAAAATCAAACATCATCGCTAAACGCAACGCCGATCGCCATCGCAGACCCGTTACTTATCAGCCCGACGACCTCGTTTTACTCGACACTCAGAA